AAAAATTTTGGGGGCCTCTTCGGAGTGGGGGCCCTAGGCGGGTGCCTACTTGGGCTACCCTCAAGGCCGGCCCTGACAATTACACCATCATCGTAGCGTTATGTGCTAATGTTATAATATTATGTATAAACTTTTTTACACATGGCCTTGTATCACTGACAATGGACACTTGGTCACACCCACACCACATTTGAAATGTAGACCATTATAAAAAAGTTCTTCTTTAAATTCTTGTGTACACCACATGTAAGATGAGGAGAGTACCAATTCAGGTGGATTGTCCGCACATATCTCCAAAGAAAAAAAAAAAACTATATGCGGACATTCCACCTCCTTGGTGCCAAATAGGCATCTGGTGATACCGATACTTTTTTGTTGTATGCATTTGTTTTGTTGAAATACTGGAAATGAGTGGTTACCTGTTAAACTACAGAAAATCAAATATGGAAAAAATGCTTCCTTGCTACCTACTCAAACATAATGTTTACACGTAAAACAAAAGCAACATTAGAACCATATTTATCTTGCTAATTGCCTTTAGGTTATAATTTTATGCAAATCTCCCCAACAAGAATTATTTTTCTTGTGTTAAATTAAGGTCCCACATTGTTCCTCATGATGGCTCAATCACCACCACTTAGGGTACATCAATCAAACATAGTTTATAATGTGGATGCAAATTTCCGCCTTCTTCTTCTTGGACAAAATTGCACCTACAAAACAATTAACACCTTAGATCAAGGCCAAGAGCCTCACGCCCCCACGATGAATGGGGGGCTTTGGCCGAAGAACCTCCGATGCCAAAGTTAGAATTTAGAGAGAAAAGTATTTGGAGAGTTTTTTTAGATTTTTGCCAAAGTGTTGGAATAACTTTTTAGTGAGAATGGGTGCCTATTTATAGGGTTAGGCTTAGCCCAATTTTCCCAATGTGTGGCTGGCCACTAATGGGTTTTGGTGGTTATAGTTTTGGCTTAATTAGCCAATTTATTGGCTAATTAAGTATAAAAGAAATAAATAGGAGGTTACAAAATTGAATAGTTGTGTAAATAGGGTAATAAAAATGGAGAAAAGTGTGAAAAGCTAGGGAGAAAGGGGGTGGCCGGTCAATCACTAGTTTTGGGATTGAGTGGGATATGTGTTGTGGTTATTTGGATGTTTTAATTGATGTTTAATGGGTTAATTGGGTAATTAATCCATTAATTAACCAATTAATATAATTTTGGAATAAATATTTTGGAGGTTATGGGATTTGATGAGATGAATATTGAATTGTTACATTTTTGGAGCATTTTTTAGCTGCTCGCGTGTAGGAATCCCGGTGTGCCTCAAGGTTAGTTTGTTCATCTTTTACTAAAAAATCCACGTGTCGCCTTGTGATTATTTTTGGCTCCATATATAACACAATATCCTAAATACTTCATAATCATAGGCGTTCGTTATATGTGTCTACAAGTTAGAAGGGCCTAAATTTTATATATTTGTTATTGGTACAAATTCATGCATCCCCTCCAACCAAATAAGAACATATATTGACATCCTCAACCACCAAAGGAAAGAGAAAACTAAGCACTCAGAGATTAGATAATGAATTATATGAAACGAGTGTAACGTCATCTGACGTTCTAGTCTGATAATACATAGAGGTGGTAAACTAGAACATTATAAAGGCGGTAAACTAAATAGTTTTATCAATCAAACATATTCTCCAACACAGTATCCTAAATGCTTGATAACCTTAGGTTTTCGTTTTAGGTGACTACAAGTTTTGGGCCTAAAATTTATATATTTGTTATTGGTACAAATTCGTGCATCCCTCCAACCAAATAAGAACATATATATTAACATCCTCAACTACCAAAGGAAAAAGAAAACAAAGCACTCAAATATTAGACATAATCTTAAATAAGAGATAATGATTTATATGGAACGAGTCCCACTTCACTTGACGTCCTTGTTTAATAATATATTGTTATATGTAAGTTACTCTACAAATGACATTATATTATTAAACTAGAATGTTATAGAGGCCATAAACTAAATAGTTTTAGGTACATCAATGAAACATATTCTCCAACACAGAATCCTAAATACTTCATAACTATAGGTGTTCGTTTTATGTGACTACAAATTTTGGGCCTAAAATATATATATTTGTTATTGGTACAAATTCAAGCATCCCCTAGGGCCTAAATTTTATATATTTGTTATTGGTACAAATTCATGCATCCCTCCAACCAGATAAGAACAAATATATTAACATCCTCAACCCAAAAGGAAAAAGAAAAGAAAACACTCAAAGATTAGACATGGTCTCAAATAAGAGATAATAATGAATTATATGCAAAGGGTCCGACGTCACCTGATTAGACATGGTCTCAAATATATTAATAATGTATTGTTATGTGTGAATTTGTCGGCAAACAACGACAGATTTTTCAGTGTGATCATCACACGATATAGTACACCACGTGTTCTTATATAAATAATGAGATATGTGTGTTAAAATGTTAATAACTTAAAATTTAAAAAATTTCACAACTTACATAAAAACACATAATGTATCATCCGTATTCTTGTCACAACTAAATATTTCTCGCAAACGACAGTATATATTATTAAACTAGAACATTATGGGGCGGTAAACTAAATCGTTTTAGGCAAGTTGTTTTTTTTTAAAGTTTCAACAAACAAATTCGAAGGGTTGGCAACTCATCGCTTGGACCCACAATATGCCACGTAGATTGTATAGAAATAGTTGGTACTTGGTGGTGGGTCATTTTGTTTCCCAACAAACGAGTGCCTTTAGTTTTTCTATTGAGTTCTTTTTGTCCCAACAATAATCAAAATATTTGACAGATGTGGGAAATAATATTAACAAAAAATAAATTTGAAAATATGAAAAGCATAATAATATTAATACAGCAGGGAAGGAAGCGTCAATAGTGACAGCTCAACCCTCAGCCGACTTTCTTAAATAACAAAACATTAGAAAATGCAGACTTGCAAAGGATTTGGTACCAACAAACGGTGCCAATGTGTTGATTAATGGAGCGCCCCTCCCACATCAACTAGTTTGTTTGGTACTTGCAAACTTTTTCGTTTCGTAACGAAGTACATTTCACATTATCCAAGTTTAATTTACATTGTTGTATTTGTTATGGATTTTTTTTATTATTTTTGGGTGTGAAGTCATGATGCTCCTCAATTTCACATTGCTCTTGATGTGGCTTTGTTTTTGGGTTGTACATGTATATGGCATGTCCTTTTCCGGTGTCCCTTTCGACCACAAAGGCTACAATTTATCAGAATGTGTAAATTGGCCGGATTTTAAACATCACGGGTGTAACGTTAAAAAATTAGAACTTTTTGTGAACTCTGTACATGTGCGCGTGGATGAATAAATTTTGGTCATTAATGCACATATGTTTCATAGGGCATGAACGATCAAAAATCACTTATGGGTTGCTAATGACAATATTATATTTCATAATTTATATCAATTATATATGCGTTCTGGGTACTCTATAAACGGAATACATAATCATAGAGAAAATAAAACGATGATAGATTATGTTATGCGATGACGTACATGATTGTTTTGTGTGAGAAAGAACGTGAAAAAATTACTTCCATTCATTTTTCTTCTTATGGGACAACCCTCTCAAATTCGATACACAATGATGAATCTAAATATGAAACCTTAAGTATGAGCATGAGTACATATAAAAAAGGATAATACTTGCATTCTTATGTGGTGATGCACATATGCATCCATTTGCAAATAATGTATCTTGATCGAATAAAATAATTATGGGAACCGTTCAATTTCTTAATCTTTATTTGTAGGTCACCCTAACAAAAAATAATTAATCGAAGATCATTTAGTCATTCACATAGAACAAATCAACTGTGTAGGTACCAAATAACATATTCATAATAAGCTGTCCATTTATTTGATACGTTTGAAGGATAAAACGATATACAATTTGATGATTTTTTTTAAGAATGATCTTCAAAATGAAAATTAATAAGTTGGACAGCTCCGATTGTACACACATATACAACTTAGTATCATATTCATATGCTTATTGTTTCATCCAATCCTTTAAAAGTTAATTGGTATTGTAAATTGTTTATTGTTCTACAACTTTATACTGTATGACCGCAAGAGCTAGATAGAAGGATCTGGTGTCTGTGTAGTGTTAATCAACAATAATCGGATGGTAAGGAGTGCTCCGTTTATTATCCTGTGAAGTGTCCAAATCACTTCTTTAAATAGATGGTTGAAGCCTACTTGTCATTTTGAAAAGGGCAAATTAAAAATAATTCATTTGTCTGTTGATGCATACCTAATCAAAATTCACTTTTGGTAGCAATAGTGTTTTATCGCAGGGACGAAAAGAAATAATGCTTCTGCGAGTTTGACTCTCACCGATTCTTCTTTACCATAACAATTAACAAGTTAACTCACTGCCGGTATCATTTGTTCAGAAATAAAATAAACCCTAATAAACCAAAGATTAGTTATAATTAATTGTATTTAACCACCTCAATCAAACCTCTGGCCAAAGTTGAATTAAAACCCAAAACAAAAATCAGAGGAAAATCTTTCATTTGTCAGGCCACAGAAGCAACCAGCTTTATCTTGTTGTTCTTTTTACGAGCTCTCCTCCAACAGCTTTCATGGTAATGATTCGTCCTATTGCCCCATATTTCTGAAATCTTCTCTCTCCCCCAAAAACCAAAACAAAACAAGACCTTGAAAACCTCACAACACCGAAGCTTTAAAATCTTTATTTCTCTGTGTTTATGTAAAATCTTTGTTTCTCTCAGACGTGGTGCAGAAAGTTGTGTGTCTCAGATCCCAATACACGGCTCTCTTCCCCCACGGCATCTTTCTTACACCATTAACGATTTTAAACTGTTCTCAAAGCCTATATCAATTACTTTCTCTTTCTTCCTTTCTCTCTCCAACACACTGTTATACACCATAACGGCATAAAAGTCCCACTCTCAAACCACAAGGGTTTCTACTTTCTCTGTGGTCCAAGCTCTGGATTACCCTTTATAATTCTCCTCTATCTCTACAAAACCCATTTCTCCGAATCTCCGACGGATTTGAATCGGGTCGTCTAGAAATGCAAGAATCCGGGTTGGGGATGATGATTGGTGGCGGCGGCGACGGTCATCATGACCAGCATAACCGGCAGCTCAAAGCTGAGATAGCCACGCACCCTCTTTACGAGCAGCTCCTGTCTGCACACGTGTCCTGTCTCAGGGTGGCGACGCCAATCGATCAGTTGCCGCTCATAGACGCTCAGCTGTCTCAGTCGCACCACCTCCTGCGCTCTTACGCTTCTCAGCCGCAGCATGGCCAGTCAGTCTCCCCACACGAGCGCCAAGAGCTTGACAACTTTTTGGTTTGTCCATTTTATTAATTTGTTACTGTCTAATTAATATATTTGTATTTATGTTTTTTTTTAATCTGGTTTAATTTGTTGAGTAATTGAATTTGTACTTGTTGGGTTTTATTAGCTAATGATTTACTTTTTTTTTGGTTAATGGTGGTTTATTAATTGTTACTGCAGGCACAATATCTGATAGTTTTGTGCTCTTTCAAAGAACATCTTCAACAACATGTCAGAGTCCATGCGGTTGAAGCTGTAATGGCCTGCCGTGAAATCGAAAGCAACTTGCAGGCTCTTACTGGTATGCCCTCCTCGCTTTTTCTCAAAACTTCACCTTCCTAGCTATTATTGTTAATTTATCAGACTCTGAATCTCGACTATTAATCGTGTTGATATGTGGTTCAACTTGTATTATAAACCTGACAAAGAACATTAGATGTCGTAATATATGTTTGATTTGGAAATGTTTAGAATATACGAGTTACAAGTATAAATGTTGGCTTTATCATCAGCTGGTGTTAGAAATGTTTAGAATATTTGTTTAGTTTTGTCATTGGGAATGAAATTTGCTTCTGTTATCTGTGCTGGGACGTTTTGTGATGTTTTAATGTGTTTGGAAGGCATAAAGATAAGAAGGACCTGGACCAGCTATTCTGGGGTTCTGGAGGTTTGAGTACTGCCCTTGTAAGAAGTGGGGGCGGTATGGGGTAGAGTCTACCAAAACTAATTAATCAAAGTTAAGTGTTGGATAGAGGTTGGCTAATTAGGTTCAACCGGTGATGTAGTAATATTAATCGATATATTATAATATGAGTAGACAAAAATATTGTTATATGATAAATTTAAGATATAATATCATCAATTATAGATACATAATAAACATGTTATAATATGAATAAATTGATAATTCTATGTAGTGTTTAGCGTGTTGATGACAAGACTAAGAAACTTTTGCATTCTGCCATGAGTTGTCTCCATGACCTAACTAACAAGGTTGCAGTAGAATATTTGGTTTTGATGATTGCAGCGATTAATATTTTTTTTTTTGGGAATATAAATATAGAATGTATGAACTTTTTTGTTTGTTGGATTATCCATATGTTGGAAGTTTGGTGATTAATTTGGTGGTGGAGTATAACTAAGTGCATATAATTAACCAATCACATTACATTAGTTAATGATGATTATACAGAAGGGTTGGATTTGTGGGGGGCCTGCTAGGTGGAGACGGTAGCTGAAACTGGTACAGGGTCTCTTCACTAAATTTATTAATACCAAAAGAATAAAATAAGATTTACGAAGCTTCAATAAATTATTAAATTATGGAAAAATGCCTCGTTAGTAGTATTCTAGCCAGTAAGAACCCTATATGATTTAAAAGATTTTTTTTTGTATGACTTGTAAGTAAAATTCATAATGATTAGTATAAATAACGACACAAGAACAGAAAAACTACAATCAAATTAGACATCTGAGTCCCTTCTCCCATCTCTCTGTCGTACCCCTCTCCTCTCTCCCTCTAAATATTATTTACTACTACATTTTCGGATTTATATCCTGATTAATTGGTTGTTAGGGTTGGACACACTGAATAAAAGGTAGAATACAAGTTGCACAAGATATTTTCAACAATGCTAGAGCCTAGAGACATCAAAGATAAACCCTAAAAGTTTTGTTCTCACTCTGAAAAATTCATATATTCTTTGCAGTCTCTGTAGATTATAGTATTATTGGTTAATTAATTACTTGTTTTCAAGCCAATTTTAGGGTTCATGACATCGAAGGCTGCATATACATGGTAAGAACAAAAACTCAAAGCCCACTGAGTTATAAAGCTAACTGGGATGGTCCAAATTAGACTTGTCTGTTTGCCTTAGTTTAAAGTGATGATATGTTGACAAGGGTTTAATAAAACAAGAGTTTTAGTTGTTATCAAGGTAAAGTAAAAGACAAATTAGTAGCAAACATGGAAGATGACAAATTATTACTGATATATACTATCAAACGCTGACGAGTATATCTATTTAATTAACTATGTAATACAAATTTCGATCAAGCTAGGTTTTACCAAGACCTAAGAAAAAAGAGAAGAAGAATCCTACATTGTTGTTCTTTTCAATTCTTGCATGCATGCGGAATATCATAATGTATATGCCTTCTAGCTAGAACCAACTGGTGATTATATACATATATATAATATACATATGTATATTATATATGTGTATAGAGGGGGCGGGGAGGGATGGAGGAACCTATAATAACTTGACTTGTGGCCAACTTAGACAAAAATTTGGTGACATCTATTTTGTCATTCCAACATACATAAAATCTAGTAAGTTATCTAGTTCAATTTTTGCCCACCAGTTTAATGTGACGTTCTTCTTACGTGGAAATATATTCTAGTTTACCAAGGGAAAAGATATAACTTGCAATTAAAGAATAAAACTACAATATTACCTTTATATATCATGTATCCTTTATTGTTTTCTTTAAACCACTAACAAAACAAACAATTCATGTGATGTAAACTTGAGATCTCGTAAAAATGACTATACATGGAATTTATATATGTTGCTTTCGATAAATGAAATAAAAAATATTTATACATGTTGTGAGAAGATTAGACTCAAGAACTTGACGACTTTCTTGAGCCCAAATAATTAAGGGTCTGTTTGATAACCATTTGATTGAGTTTTTGATTATCACCTTTTATGCATGAGATTTGAGTGAGGTATATAGGGTAGGGGAGGTATGAAGAAGGATGATGGGAGAAGGAAAAAAATTGAGGAAGAAATGAAAACAAAATCTTAAATGAAATAATTTTTTGTTTTAATTTTTTGTTTTGTGCACCTTTCAACAAGAAGAAGCCTTACCCCACTAAGTGGGGTTGCTATATGAATCTTAGAACGTCAATGCGCTATGATTTGCATCAAATCTTCTATTAGCTCCAAGTACTCCATATCTTTTCTTAAAGTGTCTTTCCAAGTCTTCCTAGGTCTTCCTCTACTTCTTCATCTCAAGCCTTTGTCTCATAATCACATTTTCTAACTGGAACATCTATAGGTCTTCGTTTCACATGTCTAAACCACCTTGACTGACTTTCTTTCATCTAATCTTCATTTGTAGCCACTCCTACTTTACCTCAGATATCCTCATTCTTAATCATGTCCTTTATCATGTGGCCACACATCCAACAAAACATTCTCACCTCATCTACCCTAATTTTATGCACGTGTTGATGTTTGACACTAGTAGAAAAAAGCTCATCTACCACGGTGAATGCCCGTGATAGATTGCAATCCACCACGGGCACTACGTCTGTTAGTCATCTAGATGTGATAAAAAGTCTCGGTTTCTATCACGAGCTATGTCCATTGTCAAATGTGATATAACCACAGATTGTGACTGTGATAAATTGGGATCTAAAACCACATGCACTATGGCCGTTGTGGTTTACAAATTGATCATGTCTAATGCCCTTTATACAAAAATTTCCAAAAGTAAAAAAAATATAAAATCATTTACTAAATATATATATATATATATTATTTATATACAAAATTGCACATTTACTACGATTTAATAAGTTCATAAAAAATCATGATTCAAATATTACAAGCTATACACTAAAGCTAACAACAAAATCGATAAGTTATACTAAGAAATACCAAACTACCCACAAAGTATCAAATATGCCTATAATAACAAGAACATTGTCACTTGAAAACTTCACATTTATTTTGACACCTCCAAACAAAGGACCTTCAGAGTGAACTATTGCCCCCAATGCTTGAGCCTCAACAATTGTTGCCTCTCTCTATCTGCATGGACATAAGCATATAGATCTACAAGTGGAATTATATATTCGATCTCAATCAAGAAAAGTGAATAGATATACAAACCTTGAAGCCAAAAGTTAACCAGTAAAGACTTGAACAGATGTACAAGTCTCCAACAGTCATACAGGAAGCAAAAAATTAACCAATAAAGACTCGAACAAATATACAGAACAACTTTGACAAGAGCATGAGTGTCAAATTAACATTGCATATACAATGAATGGAGTAAATACATAACTTAGGATTCAAATAGTGTATGCAAACAAACGAGTAGAGGTTCGTCTTAATAAAAAAAAAATCTCCCAAAATAGAGAAATAAAGTGGTAGTACCTGAGAGAGCTCTCAGAAAGCAGTGAAGTGAAAGAGTTGGTGTCGTTGTGTTAATTGTATAATCTTCATGGCACTTGTGCCATTCTTACCTACATTTCACACAACGATGTCAAGTCACAAGAATATAAAAGGAATCATCACAATCCAAATAATTATTGAACCGTACATATTTATTATTGTACCTTGTATTGTATCAAATAAAATTCAATAGTAACTTGCAAATTGTATAACCCTAAATTAACAAAAGCAACAGTAAAAGAAAAAGAGGCATTAATACCTTTAAGCTAATAACAAATTAGGCGACGAAATTTGTATTTAAAGAACAACAGACATGAGTCCTTAAAATTGGAATCCTTAGATGCTTGAAGTTCAACAGTGCAAATATTGATCCCCATACTAAAATATTTGAGAATATCAAACACCAAATTCACTGATAATGGAAAACCTGATCAAAATTGTTCTTTAAAAAATGAAACGACATAATAAATCCAAATCCAATTCTATCAGGCCACACTCAAAAGGAACAATAACATATCAAATTCAAGCTAAGCACCTCAGAGTTTCCCTAATTCATACCTCATTCAGCAAGAATAAATCCGACATTCACCTTCTCTGCATAACCCAGCCACTTGCAAAAACATCTATACTGGCAGCATAAGCCAAATTTCAACATGTTTTTCCTTCTTTTCTACATCTATTAGTCACATAATAGCAGTTCCTTTACAAAATGGCAAAAAATTAGGGACACAAAAATATAGCATCGTTGAGTCTTCAAGGATATCAAAATTGAAAATGAGAGCATGACTACCTAAGGGAGATCTTTCCCAAAACAGGGCCGGCCATTGCATCCAGTTCCAGGTGGTTGGCATGAACTTTGGCACCACGACAGAAGCATGATGTGACGACTGCTAGGGTTTGCTTAGACCTCATTGGTTAAGATTCATCTCTAAAAGCTTCAGGCCTTACATCTAAACCAAACACGAGACTATCTCAAACAAAATCAGAACTCAAAGTACAGTCAAAATCCTTAAAATCAATTTACCCAACCCTATATCTAATTTTAAGAAATACAATAGCACCAATTGAGAGAGGAATTTCGATAATACCTAAAGATCGGAGAGAGATGAAAGTAAGAGCGTTTCCTCTGTTGGGGGCTCCGAAAGAGAATTACAGGGAAAACTGATGGATTTATGCATCAGAAACATGAATTAAAGATGACAATTAAAAAGGGAAGAAAAAAAACATTTTTGAGGGCTTTGATTTTGACGACGGTTTTGATTTCCACCAGAAGGAGGTTGTCGGTATGTTTATTTGCAGCGAGGGAAAGTAACGCCTTGCATCTGTTTTTTAATAGTGTGAAATTTGAAAGATTTCAAATTTTGGGAAATTTTCGAAAATTTTCTAGTCCCGCCAACTTTTATTTTATTTTTTAAATAATGTGCGTAATTGCATCACATTTAACGTCTGTGATAAATAAAAAAATTTGGTGTGATTACTAACAATATTGACCACAGTTAATATTTGTGGTGGTTTAATATTTTCACAACATGCTGATTAAGACCGTGGTAGTAAATTATTTTATTATAACGGACCATTACATGCCTATTGTAAAACATTGTTATTCACAACATGCTGACTAAGTCCGTGGTAAATGGTCACTTTTTATAACGGGCACATAATGTTCGTGGTAAAATTGACATGGTAAATGAGCTGTTTTCTTGTAGTGTGACCACCCAACATTCCTTATCATAAGCATTTTTAGCCTTATTGTCGTCCTATAAAAGTTTCCCTTGAGTTCTAATTGTATATGACGGTTGCAAAATACAACCCATGTCTTCTTCCACTTCATCGATCCAACTTGTTTTCTTTGGTTGAGATCTCCATCCAATCATTTGTTCTTTCGCAAGATAATCTAAGATAACAAAATTGTCACTCTTTGGTACTTCCTGATTCCAATTCTCATGCTATCTCATTTAGGCCCCTATTCGCATTGAATGTGCACTCTTAATACTTTTTATTTAACCTACTTAGGCGAAGATTTTTAGATTCCAACACTTCCAGCCAAAAGTTAAGCTTCGCATTTACTCCGTCTTGCGTTTCATCTTTCAACATTATATCATCTGCTAAAAACATACACCAAGGGATATCATCTTGAATATATCATTCATGAGTTCTTACGGCAGTCATAGCTCAATCATACATATCCTTTATTTCTTGTACATTTTGTACGTCTTTCCTTGTACATTTTTTCTACATTTTTCCTTGTACATTTTGTGCATATGGTTATGGGAAAGCCTTCATTTCGTGTGTCTTTCCTTATACATTTTTCTACAACTCTCCCACCATCATTCATTCACTCTTCTTCATCCCTTACTTTCTCTATGTATTTCTCCTGTATCTCTAACACAAAAAGTAAAAACTCAAAATTAAATAGTTATCAAACGGTCGATGAAATTCTTAGTCAGTTGACTCATTTCTGATAACTGTTTAGCATAACATTAGCTAAGCTAGGCTAAAGCCACATGAGCCAGCCCAAATAAAAAGTAGAATTAATCACTGATATTTAAGGCTTTATTGCCTCTGTTTCATCTCTTTCAGGAGTGAGTCTGGGCGAAGTTTCGGGTGCAACAATGTCCGATGATGAGGATGACATGCCGATGGATTTCACAATGGATCAATCCAGCGGCGAAGGGCATGATATGATGGGATTTGGCCCCCTACTCCCAACTGAATCTGAACGATCGTTAATGGAAAGAGTTCGACAGGAATTGAAGATTGAGCTGAAGCAGGTAAAACATATGCACACAAAAATTACACCATTGCTGCAATTAAGTTGTTTTGCTTTCGGGATGTAAACTGAGCTTTCTGTTTCCTATCTTATATAACAAACGTGCATTGTTAAAAATTTGCAGGGATTTAAGTCAAGAATTGAAGATGTAAGAGAGGAAATTCTAAGAAAAAGAAGGGCAGGGAAATTACCGGGGGACACAACTACGGTGCTGAAGAATTGGTGGCAGCAACACTCTAAGTGGCCCTACCCAACTGTAAGCAAACAAATTCACCATTCATATATGATTTTATTGCACTCCATACAAACACACACACCCATATATGTATATGTATATGTATATATATATACACACACACACACACACTCATTCTGCTTAGACTACAGTGTTCAGAAATGATGGCAGAAATCAGGGAGAAGCTCACTAATACTGTAGTGAATCAACAACATTGGCAAGATTGACAGCATATTGATACATTATATGTGATATACCAAGAATGTGTGGCACTAGTTACTATCGTTGATTCGTTATAATAGGTCTAATAGTGACATTATCAACATCATATTTAGATGATACCAGTATAAAGAGACTATTTGTTACGATAATAGTGCATTTTGGTAACATTTTTACATCGTGTCGAGATGATAGCGATATAATTTGAATGTTTGCTATAACAATAGTGTCATTTGACTCCTCGAAGAATTATTGAAAGATTGACATCATATATGCAGGAAGATGACAAGGCAAAGCTTGTGGAGGAGACAGGGTTGCAGCTGAAGCAAATAAACAATTGGTTCATTAACCAAAGGAAGCGGAACTGGCACAGCAACTCTCAATCGGTCACCTCCTTAAAGTCCAAGCGCAAAAGATAGACAAAAACACCATAACCACCGTTGGATCTTGTTTGATAATCGGAGAAACTGATGAACTCATGACTTTTGTGTCTGCTGAATTGTGTGACATTGGGGAAGTATATATAGTCTAATTAGCCAACGCTCTGAAAACAGAGAAATTGAAGTAACAAATGGCCAACTAATTACATGTGAGAGGTTGTATAAATTCATGTTTTCCAAATTTCGATCGGTAGAATAATGGTACTTCTTCTTTATGTACTATATTTCCATTTACTTTTGTCTGAGTTGATTTCTTCACTACTTACGATTCACAAATGTAGATTGGTTGTTGATTTGTTTCTGTGAAATTGCTGCAACATGATTCACAAATGTAGATTGGTTGTTGATTTGTTTCTGTGAAATTGCTGCAACATTTTCTAACATTTACATTGGAGCAACATTTTGAAATTTACAAATATAAGGGCTGCGTGATGCTTGTTGGTAGGGTAAAGACCCCGAGCGCCGAGCTAGGACCAATTTCAGGCATCAAAGGACTAGTTGTTTGGACCGAAATCAAGGAGGGCGGCGGGGCTGTCCAAGGCCCAAAACACTTGTAAGTGTAAAAGCTTAATGTGTATTTATTTTTCACCAGAATGAACAGTGCCCAGCCCAATTTTTGAAAAGCACTTTATGACGTAGTATTGTGGGCGGCGAAAAAACCACTTTCACATTGAGAAGAGGTTGCTCAGCCATTTTAGAGCAAGTTTACCCCTAAAAAAATGCTCCAGCACTTAACCCATTTAATCATTCAGTGAACAATGATAGACCCAATGAATAGGAATTGGTCAAAAGCATTTTCATCCCTAAAAAATGCATTGGCGCAAAGTCTAAAAAATGCACTGGCATAAACGATCTTCAACCCTACAAAATGCACTAGCACCCAGCCCATTTAAAATATTATTAGTTTTTTTTTATAAAATAACAAATTAAAAAATGTAGTTTTAATTTCGGATAGGATTTTTAATCAATCTTATCACATCATGTGTCATGATTCGAAAATACTATTTTGTTGATAGATGTTCAAAAAGATTTTCAACCAATCCCGACGTGCCACGTGTCACGTGTCACTATCTGTTTACAATAATTTAGCCAAGATTTCAATAAGATTTTCAACCAATCTTGTCACGCCACGTGTCCTTATCCGAACATATTATTTGAGGAATAGATTTTTGATAAGATTGTCAACCAATCCTGACGCGCCACTATCTATTTACAATAATTTAGCCAAGATTTCGATAAGATTTTCAACCAATCATGTAGTGCCACGTGGCATGGTCCAGAACATCATCCTTTATTTTTTTTGTCCATATAAACCCTACATCCCTACATCCATTTTCATTCACACAACAAACTCAATCCTTCTTTTTTAGCTTTGAATCCTTCTTCATCGTTTTTAAATCTTGAGTTCTTACAATGCCTTTGTCAAGGTGATTGTATAAGCAATAGAAAAAAGTATTAGCATAATAAGAAGAATTGTTCAATCTCAAGGAAGGTGGAGATGAGGCTTTTGCAATGGAAGAGGATGAGGATGATGAACATAGAAGGCTTCAGGCCTCACATTCCCATCCTGTCATGGAAGTTGTGGGTCAGATAGCCAAACCTAGACGTGCCTCAAACTTCGATAGAAAAAGGGAAAGACAAGGTAAAGATCTCTTGGAAGATTATTTTATTCCCGACAGTGTATTCCCCGATCATATTTTTAAACATTGTTTTAGAATGCAACGAAGTTTGTTCGACAAAATCATAAGTGCTCTTTGCAACCATGATCCATACTTTGTGCAAAAAGAAGATGCTTTTCATGTTCTATGTCTTCTTCTTGAGTAAAAAATTACGGCTGCCTTGCGAATACTTGCATAAACAATTGTTCTGGAGTCCTTTGATGTGGTTTTGCTTTGCAATTGAAGCCTTATACACCAATGATACCTTCAGAAACCCACGGCAAGGGACATGTGAAGGCTTCTGAGGAAGGGTGAGATGCGAGACTTCCTTGACATGATTGGAAGCATCGATTGCATGCACTGGACTTGGAAAAACTGTCCAAGTGCGTGGCTTCATTTGATACATGGATTTGGCATGCTTTTTTTGGCGTTCCAGGAGCTCATAATGACCTAAATGTCTTTGCCTAATCTCCAATGTTCAACGAACTGCTGCAAGGAAAATCATCAAGATGCACATATTAGGTTAATGGCCATAAATACGACGGAACATACTACCTTGCAGAAGGCATTTACCTAAGCTGGACAACGTTTGTCAAAACAGTGCCACGTCCATAGAGTGAAAAAGAAAAACACTTTGCAAAATGTCAAGATGGGTGTAGGAAGGATGTGGAGTGTTGTTTTGGTATCCTGCAAGCTCGTTGGGCAATTGTCAGGGTTGCTGCTAGAATGTTTGATGTCAAGGCTCTTCGATCCATCATGATGAGGTGTATTATTCTCCACAACATGATTGTGGAAGATGAGTATGATTATGATGCCGTCGATGAATACGAGCCGGATACAATGAACAACTCAAGAACACATAACTACTATGCTCATGACCGGATTGAAGATCCCGTGCAACACGAGTCGTTGGAATGGGATGGACGTTACAATCAATTGATCGTTGAGCGGTACACTTCAGTGCAAGAGTCATACTGGCACATAAGCTGCCAGAGTGACTTGATTGAGCATCAATGAGGATTGCAACAAGGTGAAGATAATTAAAATGAGCTTGTGATTGAAGAATAAAGTGCGTTTTTTTAAAGTTTATTTGGTGAGGTTATGTAATTTTATTTGGTGTTTTTTTTTTGAAGTTTATTTGGTGAGTTTATGTAATCTTATTTGATGTGTTTAAATAAAGTACAAAAAATAAATTTGAAATTACATAAAGTATTAAAAATCAATAAGAAATTATACAAAGTACTAAAAATAAATATGAAATTACATCAAGTACTAAAAATAAATATGAAATTACACAAAGTACTAAAAATAAATATGAAAGTACACAAAGTACTAAAAATAAATAAGAAATTACAAAAAGTACTACAAATAAATAAGAAATTAAATAAAGTACTAAAAATAAATAAGAAATTATACAAAGTCTGAGGAGCTAGGATATGTGGTGCTAGGATCTTGCACGCCTCATCTCTTGCACCCTCTCGACTTGATTCCTCATCTCTTGCACGCCTCATTCGCACCACGTCCTTTTTTTTTTTTCGATGTCAAAATATTTAGAGTTTGGAGACATCCCTACTAGAGACTTATTCATAGTGTCACAATCTGCTTGAGCCTTCATTTCTTCTCTAAGCATTTGATTTTCTTGATTAAGTATTTCTCTTTGTCTCTCATTAGCCGCATCACGTCTCTCAATAGTTGCTAATATTGCTGCCATAGTTGCAGCTTTTGCCTCATCTCTAGCCGCTTCTCGTGCCATGTTCAGTTCACTATGGCGAGCAAGTTTGTCGACATATTTACTGAAGTCATTTTCGGAAGAACTACCTTTTTTCTTTGCTGCCTTTTTACCTTGAGGCTTGAGGGACTGATGAGTCGGCTGGGTCTCCGACACTTCTTCAGGTGTCCCTTTCGTATCTTCAAATGTGCTGCCTTCTTGTTCGGTCATGTCTGCTTCTGGCGAACTGTGTAGACCCATGTTGTGCATGACAACTTCTGGACCTGTTGCCACAATTATGTATTTAGGGCAATCTTTGACAATTTGCCAACATTCTCATTTGCTGTGGTTCTTCGCATTGTAGAATGCTTGTGCTTGTAGTGTCTATTAATGTGGGATAAGACAATATTATAATGTAGGTGTAACACAAATAAATAAATTAAAATATTGATGAGGGTGAAATACATATAAATAAATAAAAATATTGTCACTTGATCTGCTAAACTTGTTCCACTACGCAGATTACCGGAAGCATGAGAGATAGCGTTTTTCCAACAAGTAAATGATGCGTTGAATTTTTTTCCAACGACCTTGAAGACCTTGACTACTTTTGGCGCCTTTTCCATGTACATCGCAAAATACTTCCGTAATTTTACTCCACATTTCTCGCTTATCCATCACATTACACGTAATTAGGTCATGAGTAGTTTGAACTCAGCATTCACACAACGTAACATCTTTGGTGAGCTTCCACGTAGTCATTTTTTTCACAAAAAAATATTTGAAAGCTTTGGTTGAAAGTGTTGAAAATATTGAAATGTGGTGTAAGGTGGAAGAAGATGGTTAGGTATTTATAGGAAAAAAAAAATATTATGTATTATTAACTTAATTAATCTGGACCATTGGAGTTGAAAAAGATTGAAATCCAACAGCCCAGATGTTGACACGTGGACCAACGGTCATATTTCTGACCATTTGTTTTTGTTTTTTGTATTTTTTGGAATGAAAACGCCGGCCGTTGATCTCGGATTGGACGACCCAAAAATAGCCACGTCAACTAGCCGTTACGTTCAAATTTCAAATTTTTTTTACCGTTGGAAATCTAACGATCAAGAAAACTAGCCGTTGGAAATCCAACAGCCCATAATGAGCCACGTGACCAGTCACGGGCGCAAATTAATGCTCTGCAACAGTGGGCCCCATGCCATTTTTTTTTTGTCTGGGCCGCGCCCCCACTTGAGCGTGTATCACACGCGCCTGACGCAAAAAAAAAATATCAGTGGGCTTTGACATCAGGCTGATACAAGCTTGACGTCAGATGGCCCCACTTTTTGGTCTGTCGATTCTGGGCCGACCTATGGCCTGGCTTGGGTTGGGTGCCAGCCTATTAGGCTGGGCTGGGGGGTTTTAGCTGGGTGCCGGGCTATCAAGCCCCGATGGACTTGCTCTTAATAGAAGAAAAGTGCTTTACATTTGAAAATATGTATTGGAAAGAATAAAAGCTTGAGTTACCAAGTGAAAACTCATCCACTACTAGCCATCACATTAGCAACTTGGATCAGAGCGAACGGACTGAGAGAGAAAGGCTTACCTCAGAAGTAGAAGACGGTTCTATATAAGGCAACAGAAGGGAAGAAACAATGCACTCAACTCAACATATAAAAGACTTCAAAGATTTGTAAGCCTACTTTTACAAATTTCTTTTGTACTTCAAGCACCGTTTACCTTTATAGCTATGCTACATTACTTTGTAGTATTGATTCCTTGTATTAAAATTTCTTTCACAAACACTTTCTACATGTACTAGCATTTGCCCGATCGGTGGATAAATATGCCTAAATGTGGATAAAACTTGCCTTAATAGGTTTAATCTTTGCCCGATCACTTGTATTATTTGTTTATTTTCAATTTATTATATTTTCATGCAATTTAGTATGCCTTTAATTAGTGTTTTGCAATTCTTGACAGCTTCCTACTTTCACCTTTTTACTTGTACTTTGTTTCGTTTCACTTACTGTTTTTACATTTATAACAAAGATTGCAAACTGACTTAGATCACTTTTGATCAGTTAGTGGTTCTCTCTTAGCATCAATATAAAAGAAAATAAAAGTCCTTTTCACACCTTGTCACCAAGGCATAAAAAGAACTTAACATGGATTTAACCTCTTCATGGAACAATCCTTGATAAGAAGCTTAGTTTACCTGGGGCGCAAGCAGACAAACTCGACAAATACTTAAGAAACAATCAATTTGTTAGTCTTAGCAACAGTGGCACGCCTAAAGAAATCAAATTGTTTACAAGAGCCTAAAGGCCTATTCAAGGCTTTGACAAGGCACCTTAAACTAACACAGAGTTCTACACTCACGCAAAAAAAGGGATGGGAATTGACCATCCAACACTAGTAATGTTCTCATAAATCACTGATCACGTCACAAGATATAAGGACATGTGCACAAATTACGTCAATAATAAGCAAAGAGATGTGTCACGCGGTTGGCCGGATTAGTACGTGAAAGATGTACAATCACCAATCACTGGATACTTTGGTCCTTATAAGCTGCATGATAAAAGTTCATTAACATCGAATGGAGGAGTCCTAGTGCTCCACTAGTTATTAAAGATATGACATCACATGCTCACTACATAAGTTATAACACAATTTTTTGCATAAGATTTTGTGTTCGATTGTTTCTTCTTTAATATTGCTCGTATTATGTAATAATTAGACTATATCATGCATGAGATGCTTCTCTGAAATTTTAGGATGTGTTCGTGTTATTTTTAAAATCTCATGATAAAACCTGAGAGAGTGTTGATAGAATAATTAAATTATATCAATTATCAAGCATGGTATTACCATGGAATAACTTGAAAACCTCAAAGGGGTTCTTCATGTAATATTCCAAACTTGAAGGAACTTTCCACGCAAAACCGAAGACAATCATATATAGTATCTCCCTATTTTTTAATGTCGTGTTGATTATTCAATAACTCTCCATTTTTCAAATAATTAAAAGAATGGGAAAGGCTGCGTCTTCTTCTTCCTTTTTCTTCACACTCATTCAAATTCAACTGTTGCTGCTTGTATTTTATAATGTTCATATTTTCAAGGCCACCTTATTTTACTCAGTCAAACCAACCCACCACGTTATTTATTTTGTCCTCCCCTTAAACCCCACGTTTACTCTTATTTTTTGGCCTATTCCTTCATCCGTTTCTTTCTTTTCTGGTGGAGCAACAAGAATCTTTGGAGTGTTTTCTGAATTGGGTTATCGCCATTTTTTGATTTCGAATCCTGTATAGCGAAAGTATTTAGTTGGCTGAGTTTGTTTGACATATAAGTGATATAGATATCATCAAGTTCAAAAGCTTTGAGTGGTGAGCAAGTACTCTTGATTATATGGCGTATCCTGCGTATACCGAATCGCTATCGTTTGGAGGCTCAGAGCATGGGCAGGGCCAACAAGTTTTGCCATTCAAGACTGCCAAAGGGTCTCTCAAGGTCTGTCTTTTACATGGCAACTTAGTTATATGGGTAATGGAGGCCAGAAACCTTCCTAACATGGACATGGTTCATAGGACTCTCGGCGACATGTTTGCTAAATTTCCCGGGAAGTTTGGCGGCAAGACCGAAGGGCAAGCGCCGCAGAAGATAACCAGTGATCCCTATGTAACAATTTCTGTGTCAGGTGCTGTGGTTGGGAGGACTTTTGTGATTAGTAATAGCGAAAACCCGGTTTGGGGGCAGCATTTTGATGTTCCAGTCGCGCATTATGCTTCGGAGGTGCAGTTTGTTGTGAAAGATAGTGATGTTGTGGGATCACAGATCATGGGTGCTGTGGGAATCCCGGTTGAGCAATTACTTTCTGGCATGAAAGTAGAGGGAACATTTCCGATACTTAATTCGAGCGGGAAAGCGTGTAAGCCTGGAGCCGTTTTGAGCTTGTCAATTCAGTATATCCCAATTGAAAAACTGACATTTTATGATCAGGGAGTAGGTTCGGATCCTGATCATCAAGGCGTCCCCGGCACTTACTTTCCTCTTAGGAGAGGCGGTAAGGTGACTCTGTATCAAGATGCACATGTTCATGATGGTCGCCTTCCCAATTTGGAGCTTGACGGCGGTGTTCAGTATGAGCAAGGGAATTGTTGGCAAGACATGTTCGATGCAATAAGTCAGGCCCGTCGCTTGATATACATTGCAGGGTGGTCTGTGTACCACAGAGTTAGATTGGTTCGGGATAAGAATGATGCCTCGGATTACATGTTAGGTGATCTTCTTAAGGCCAAATCACAGGAAGGTGTGAGAGTGCTGCTTCTTGTTTGGGATGATCCAACTTCCCGGAGAATTTTGGGATATAAAATGGTAAGGCCCTCGAGATTAGTAAATATATTAATTCGGCATTCTGCACTGAAGCATAGTTTCGGTTCGCATCAAATTTATCATACTTTTCTTACATATAAGGATGATTTTATGAGTTTTTCCCTTCGATTGAACAAGTTATTATTGGCTCATTGTTGAAGCTCTAAAAAATGCTTTTGCAAATCTGAAATATGTCCATCTTAGGCGCCAAGAATACTGATTGCTACTTATACTGACTGTTATGCTTTGTTCTACTTCCTCATTTCTCTACAAGACATAAAAGTGATCGAATCATCAAACATCGAAATGACAAACAGAACAAAGTTTGTGTTTGTTCTATAAAAAAAAAAAAAAAAAAATTATCTTTCACTTAAATGTTTTACTATTTGAGTTGAGAATTGTGTATAAGAAGTTGAAGCAAATACTAAAAACAGAAGATAGAGACAATGTAGGGGCAGCTGAAGATGAACTCGAATCTTGATGAGAGCGGGACGGAGGAGAGGATGATAGAGAGCTCGGATAAGGTTTATCAAATACTACTAGATTCATTTGATTTTTGCCTGATGTTGTACTTCAAAGCAGATGCAGTTATGTATGATGTACCAAGCTAATTAACCAAAACGTTATAATAAGTAACTCTAAGGTGCATCTACACATTGCCCGTTTTCTGCAGTCTCGTATTTCCCTTCGTACTTTTTAAATTTTGATTTTGATTGTCATACATGTACGGGATACAAAGGCTATGCTTTTGATCCGGCTGACACCAAAGTATAGCTTGAATAAATGCTTGGGAAGGCTAATCTTTATTTTGTACATCAATGTCCATTTTGATTGACTATATGATGCAGGAAGGGGTCATGCAAACCTCTGATGAGGAAACTCGGCGTTTCTTCAAGCACTCTTCAGTCCAAGTGCTGCTTTGCCCTCGATCTGTTGGGAAGGGTAGCTGGGTCAAAAAGCAGGTTAGATAAAATAACCACCTCAGTTATGCTGCAAATTGAGAGGCGAACATTGTTCATGTCATTTTGTTTTTCATACGTGCTAAAATTTTGCGTTTTCTTCACTTATTACACCAGTAAATGGACCTTGTAAAATGAAATCTTGAAAATCCAGAGTTCTGTTATGATATGCCAAGTTGCATATCAATTACAATTATCCCACTTCAACTAATTTGGGGCTGAACATCAAGTAAATCCCACACAATCTTTTGGAGGACTAGGAATCAGTGCTTCTTATTCTTGACATGGTGATATTATCATCAACTGCGAAAACAAGAATTGATATCTTCTATGGCTGGCGAGCTCTAAAGCTTAAGTCAAATCGTCGTTTTTTTTTTTTTTTTTTTCTGGCTAATATGTGCAAATAATTTGTTTTTTCACAAGTAGTACGTTAAAACTGTATGGACATATATATAACACAACTCAGATTTGATTTATGTTTTCGTGTTCTGTTCGGATACTTATCAAAAGAAATCATCAGGTGTATAATTGCATGTATCTATCTCTTTGTATTTTCATGCTTAATGTTCCGCGTGAGTGCTTCTTTTAACCTTTATACTTCTTGTCTTTGGTCGTAGGAAGCCGAAACTATCTACACCCATCATCAGAAAACAGTGCTTGTGGATGCTGATGCAGGCAATTCTAAAAGAAAGATCATTGCATTTGTTGGAGGTCTTGATGTATGCCTGGGGCGCTATGACACTCCAGATCATCCAATCTTTAGGAGTTTACAGACAGTGCACAAAGATGACTGTCGTAACCCTACTTTCTCGGTAATCATTGTATTAATTTCCTATTTTTCTGTTGGATTAACATCCATTGCTAGATGATGTACACACAATGAAAAATTGATAGTTTATAAGCATTTTTTTTTTGTGGAACATGAGCAAGAATACTTATTAAGTATTAGTGCATTACATGCCCTCTTCTTAAAAAGTTCTCATACTTTTGTGATCCTATAAGAAGTGTGTAAGTCATTGATGTTACTGGTTTACGAGCTCCCTGTCGAGTTTTCATGAAAAGATAGAGGATCACCTTGATGATTTGATTCAATAAATAGTATAGTTATGTCGAATATTTTTCTTCTTTACCATATTCACCTTTGCAACACAAACAGGAGCGCTCTGTTGGTTGTCCAAGGCAGCCATGGCATGATTTGCACAGTAAAATTGATGGTCCAGCAGCATATGACATCCTTGCCAATTTTGAGGAGCGCTGGTTGAAGGCTTCAAAACCCCACGGGCTTCAAAAAATTAAAACACCGCATGATGATGCACTACTAAGGATTGAGAGAATTCCTGAAATTATTGGGATGGCGGAAGTTCCTTGCCTGAGTGGCGATGATCCAGAAGCTTGGGATATTCAGGTATATTGGATCTCAATCAGCTGTGTGAGGTTATCTTATGTCTTCTATGATTTCTAAACAAATTGGTCAATTTTTAATCTCCCCCTCCCCTCCCCCCCCCCCAAACAATTGAAGGTTTTCCGTTCAATTGATTCCAATTCTGTGAAAGGATTCCCGAAGGACTCAAAATATGCTACAAGCAAGGTGAGAAATTTGGCTTCACTTCTTTGCACTAATTTAAGGTATCTCACACTTTACACTAATGTCTCACCATTTCTGCAACAGAACCTGGTTTGTGGGAAGAATGTGCTAATAGACATGAGTATACATGCAGCATATGTCAAGGCAATCCGTGCGGCTCAACATTTCATTTACATAGAAAACCAGTACTTCCTTGGGTCATCATATAATTGGAACTTATACAGTGATTTGGGTGAGGACTCTAACCTTTGAAGCAAGTAACCCGAAAAATGAATATAGGTGGTTCATAAACATGTCGGTGCTCTATTTTTCCCTTTCCACCATGTAGCAGCAATGTAGCATTGGGATTTTTGAAGCTAAATTTGTATTGTATTTCCATGTGATTTATTGTCGTAGAGACATCGGTGATGAGGCCTTTTTATGCAGGTGCAAACAATTTAATACCAATGGAAATTGCTCTTAAAATCGTAAACAAAATCAAAGAAAATAAGAGGTTTTCTGCATATATTGTTATCCCCATGTGGCCAGAAGGTGTTCCTTCAAGCACTCCTATTCAAAGAATTCTCTTTTGGCAGGTAATCTGATTACTGTGTAAGAAAGTACTTGTACTCGAGCAGTTATCGTTGGCTTGAGACTCATTAGCGTTCTAGCATGCCTTATGAAGCTTTCTAGGCCGAATAACACGAGAACAATTTCAAGGCATTTTTGTGACCAATCAGATGAAACATCCATGAAAAACAATAACAATGCAGCACAATTTTGTTTTTCCCATGGCTTTTTTTTCTTCTCTGCAGAATAAAACAATGCAAATGATGTACGAAATGATTTACAAGGCTCTAAAAGAGGCTGGACTTGAAAACAAGTATTGTCCACAAGACTACTTGAATTTCTTTTGCCTCGGGAATCGCGAAAAACCGAATGGTGAAGAAACTAGTGCTGCAAACAAAAAAGAAGCAAATACTCCCCTGGTATGTCCCCTAAATTTTTTCTTGAATACACCTTTAGCTTATGAAGCTAGGTTTTCCGATATATTTCAATTGCTTGTGCTGGTTTTCTGGAATGCAGGCACTCACTCGGAAGAATCGGCGTTTTATGATTTATGTCCATTCTAAAGGAATGATCGTGGATGATGAATATGTTATAATAGGATCTGCAAATATCAATCAGCGATCCTTGGAAGGTACCCGGGATACCGAAATAGCAATGGGAGCATACCAGCCTCATCACACCTGGGCTAGAAGACTCTCTAGTCCACATGGAAAGGTAAAGCCTTACTCGTCAAAGCTTTCTGTACCATATTGCTAGAGGTTTTCCGGTGCATCGTTTTATCCTACCTGATTCCTGAATGTTTAAGGTTGAGAGAAGTTTCTGAATCATGATAAAATGCAACATATAGCACTATTCAAATTTTCCAACATAAATATGTTGTCCGAGTGTCCAGATTTTGGTGTTAAGCACAAGATATAACTGCAAGATTTTCAATTCTGTCTGTCGAATAATTGGGAAATGATTTCCGAAACCTTTTTCTCCTTCTGCACATCCCTATTTATTTCTTTCCCTTGATCTTTTTATTTATTCAATCCAAATGCGAGAAGTAACAGGGCAGGGGGAGAAAAGTGGTGCGTGGAAATCACTTTCCGTTATAATTTGGAAGAGTTCACCATTCGTACATATGGAAATGGTAGGCTACAGGGGAAAAATTGTAATAATTTGCTTGTCTATATGATTGCAGATATATGGATATAGAATGTCACTGTGGGCAGAGCATACAGGATGTCTTGAAGAATGTTTCAAGAAGCCGGAGAGTCTCGAATGCGTGAGACGGGTGCGATCCTTGAGCGAGCAGAACTGGAGGCAATACGTTACGGATGAGATGACAGAAATGAAGGCTCACCTCCTGAAATATCCGGTTGAAGTCGATCCAATGGGCAAGGTGAAGGCTATTCCGGGCTGCGAAACGTTTCCAGACGTTGGCGGCAACATACTGGGATCATTCAAAGCCATCCAAGAAAATCTCACCATCTGATCACAACAGATTTTTCAGTACAGATTTGAAGTCCCAGTTGATAAGTATGCTTCTGCCTCAAATTCTTGGTCATATGAATTGTCCCACAAGTATGTGGCACCAACTTGTCTATTTTTCCTTGTACATTGGAAGGTAGGATTTGAACATGCATTGTCCCACATGCGTTGTAATGTATATGGTTGGTGGTGAGTTAGTTTGTCCAACTCTGCTTAGAATGTTGAAATAATTTTGGGTGAAAATTTGAATCCTGAATGCAGGTTAAGTCAGTTGGCTAGAGTAATGTGTCATCTTCCTTACACTTGAGTTTAAATTCTCTCGTTATAAATTAGGGCTGTTTAGAATAAAATACCTAGTAAAACAAAACTATGAATCACAAATATAAGGGATACTAAATATTTTTCTTTTGTTGATTGCTGCGTGGAGGTATTTTATACTCAAGCTGTCAAACCTTAGGTGTTAGTGGGGAAAATGGCATGCATAAATCACTTTCTAGATTTTTTAATTTACAAAGGAAATCGAGCTTATAATTTATTTTCATCATGGTTTTCGATTAAATCAATTTTTTTAACCGTAAGAGGTTGGTTAAGTGGAAAGCGAGTAAAAGTTTGAAACTCTCAGCTCGAGTTTGAACTTCCAAAGATGCATTCTTTAGGTGACCCACTAGCTCTGCTTTGACGAGTTGTTGCATTTAGATGCAAAAAGTACATTACGCCTGATGTGGTACTGAGACTGCATAGAGAGGAGGATAATTAGTTTGTAATCAATGTATGATGAAATATTTCGTATACAAAAAATAAAGTCCTTGCTTGAGTAAAACATTAACAAATGAGCAATTTAGTCGTTATAATCCTGAAATGTTTATTAATATATGTAACGAGTACAGATACATCTCGTTTATGTCTGTCGCTCTTATCGTGTAATCATACATGTAGTTTATTTCCATAATGTGATTGAGAATGATGGAGAAGAAAAACAGAGCCGTGAAAATTAGTAAAATCATGAGTAATTGTGGTAGCTGAAAATCGGGTCCTACATGGTTTGCCTTCGTTATCACACGATTCACACTTGAGCTAAAGGTGTGTGTGTTTTCTTCCTCAAACCACCCATTCTTTTGGACAAAAAGATCCGTATCCTATTTAACCATCAGACGAGGTATGATTACAGTGTGTTGCAGGTGCATCAACAATCATCCTGCCCTTGTAGCTACAGTCACAACAATCATCCACATTTTGTACACATTAGTCATCTGTATTGGTTGATACAATTATACATAATTAATATTATATATATATATATATATATATCAATATCTTAGCTAAAATGATGTGGGATGATTTTGTAATTCGATAACTACTGTTTTTTAAAGTATTAATACCAAGGGAAGGGGAGTGTTCGAAATTATTACAATAACTTAAGAGAGTAGGGAGTTTCGAACCTGAGACGCGTATGTAGAACTTGACACTATATCTATATCCATTAAGATATTAGACCAAATGCTACTTATAAACTTGTTATTTGAACTAATTAGGTGAATGTAGAACATACTAATATGTTGTTATTCCAGTTCACAAGTTTAAGAGTTCTCTTAAATAAATAAGGGACAGATCTGTGACATCACTTTTTATATAATTTTGACATACGTTTTTGTGGGCACCATTTTGTAATGTTTTTTTAACGATTTAAACCGTCTATCTTTTATATCTTCCCTCAAAGCTCATGTCACATCCCGGCCCGGGACGGATCACTTCCCGGGCCCGTTCCACCACCGTAGCACGATATTGTCCGCTTTGGGCTTACCATTCCCTCACGGTTTTGTTTTTGGGAACTCACGAGTCACGAGCAACTTCCCAGTGGGTCACCCATCCTGGGAGTGCTCTGGCCTCTTTCTCGCTTAACTTCAGAGTTCCGACAGAACCCGAAGCCAGTGAGCTCCTAAAAGGCCTCGTGCTAGGTAGGGATGAGAATATGCATTTAAGGATCACTCCCCTGAGCGATGTGGGATGTCACAATAGCTCAGGGGAGTGATCCTTAAATGTATATTTCCATCCCTACCTAGCACGAGGCCTTTTGGGAGTTCACTAGCTTCAGGTTCCGTCAGAACTTCGAAGTTAAGCGAGAAGGAGGCCAGGGCACTCTTAGGATGGGTTACCTACTGGGAAGTTGCTCGTGAGTTCCCAAAAACAAAACCGTGAGGGAATGGTAAGCCCAAAGCGGACAATATCGTGTCACGGTAGTGGAACGGGCCCTGGAAGTGATTCGCCCCGGGCCGGGATGTGACAGCTCATGTCTACTACAAATACTCAAATCTAAAATCATATAACTGTTGGATTAATGGTTTAGGGTTTCTTTGTATAATCATATTTGTCTATTTTCTTGACTAGAGGTGAATGTCTTAATGATTTTGGATTTGTCAAATATTTTGCAAGGATGATCTATAAACAACATTCTAAAAGAGAGATGATTCAGATCGTTAAAATATATTACGGAGTGAGTAAAAAAAAATGTGTGGAAAAAAAGTGGCGCTACTGATCCAGCCCCAATAAATTATCGATAGATATAAAAGTTAGCATATCTTGATTTCATAAACTATGTTAATTTTTTTGAATGAGTAGTTTGAATTCTACCAAAAGACAAAATATATAGAGGATTTTTAGGCTATCTCCAACGCAAAGGGCTAAAATCTCAGAATTAAGCCCATATTTTCAACTATTCACCTATATGTATGAGGTTATATGTTCTTTCCTTCAACGGGTAGGGACCTATAATTCCCACTCCAACCAATTTATAATCTGTTAAACTTTTGTATTTCATTGGTTTTTTTATGGCTTATAATTTTGGAATTAGTTTTTGTATCTTACCTTAAAAAACAATTGTTGAGAAAATTGAATTTTTTATGGATTAGTGAACAAATTGATAAGATTTTTGGAGGAGTTTTGGTGTTGGGTCCAATTTGGATTAATTAAATTTTGAGCCATTGCATTTTTCTATTACCATGAAAATTAATTAAATTGAATTTGAGCTATTGGATTCTTTTTAGGTTTTTTATATTAGCACCTCACAAAATGTTGAATGCACCCCATATTAAAATTTAATATTAATGACTTATTTACTCTACTATGCAATGACAATTTTGACCTTATTAGGTTTAAAAAATAAAAATAAAAAAACTTTTAACACATTATTTATCTACTTCAACTCTCAAAACTCCTCACACCCTCCATTGTTGAATAAAACCCTAAGTAATGAAACTACAAACATGTTGATTAAGCAATGAAACTACAAACATGTTGATTAAGAAAAATTATTTTTGACGAATACAACACGAAATTGATATTTCGAAAGCTTTAAAATCATTATTATTGATATTGAAAAAACATTCAAATGAACCTAAACATTTTTTTCAAATCATTCAATTTGAAATCATTCGGCAAAATAAAGTTTAGATGGTTTGAAATCATTCGGTAAAATTTAAAATGACTGTTATAAAATTTGAGAAATGTGGGGTGTATAAAAAATGTGGGGTGTGTATAGAAAATGTAAGGTATATATTAAGAATGTGGGGTGTGAGGGTATTATGGGGAAGGAAGTGGGGTGTATTAAGATAATTTTTAATTGAAAAAATAAATGTGAGGTGTATTAAGTATGTGGGGTTTATTTAACAATTTGTGGGGTGCTAATATAATAAGCCTTCTTTTTATTACCGTTAAAATTGATTAAATTGGATTTGAGTTGTTGGAATTAAAAATGGATGTACTATGCGCGCCATATTTGATCAAAATCCAGGAGATGAGCTAGTCACTGGATCTGAACAACACATGTATCTGGACAATAGAAAAAGTGCTTGTTGTGTGCTCGCCCGCACTCGAACTTTCATTTTAGAATTTTTTTGTTTCCCACCCCCTATTGGAGTTAGCCTTTAGATTTTATGGAACCTTACTGCATTGGAAGTTTTGGATCTTAGATTTGGACTTGGATTGTCTGCCCTCTAATTTTGGTGCCCTCTCTGTGCCCTCCTGTTTTTGTGGTCATGGTTAAGCCACGTCAACATTTTATATTACTATTTCTTTTTGTTTTATTATTTTTATAAAAAAATAATATAAAATATTGACGTGACTTAACCGTGATCACACAAAACAGGAGGGCACGGGAAGGGCACCGAAATGGGAGGGCAGACAATCTAAGTCCCTTAGATTTATGCACTGCTTGAGGAATTAGAATAAAGAAAGTGAAAGTAAAGAGCAACAAAAATAAAATAAAATAAAAGTGAAAGAAGAAAAGATAAAATAAAAGAAAAGGTAAGCAAGGAAGGATATTAATATACCTCAATTAATTAGAACATGTAGAGCTGAAGCTTACGCAATTTGTTCAAGATGCAATGCAAATGAGGCTTTCTCTTTCATGAGAAACTATGAGTCCACTCTCTACTTTAATAAATATTATACTACATATAATACTTATGTAGTCACTGCTCAATAATGGATACACTATGGACTCACTTTTTAATTTGGTTCCACTAAAAAATGTCACGTGTTTTTTATTTTTTAAAACGAAAATACTAATAACATGTGCATTAGTTTTTTAAACAACAAAACATGTCTTAAAATATCATTGGATAAAACTAAAAGGTGAATACTCACTCGTGAGTATGTAAGTATTATTCTTATACCACAACTAGCAAGTGGCTTGATTTTATGAAAATTTTGAATTAAGATATAAACCATACCATTACACAATCTTTACCTATGCTCATTTTGGCTAAACCCCTAAGACGCTCTCATAGAGAAAAACAAGTTCTTTTCGACTAATGGATAGTGATTTTGAAATTTTAAATCATCAAACTAAGGTATGAATCGATTTATGCAAGTGTTTTTCGTTTGATTTCAATGTTTTTAGAATTTAGGAGTGTATTGCCTGCAAAAAAGAACTTTGCAAGCCCAAGTATGTGTGAGAAACAAAAGAAAGGAAAAAGGGATTTATGGCAATCAAGTTTTTTCGTTTAGTTTCAAGTTTTTCTAGAGTTCAGAAGTTTAAGGTGCAACCATAAGGGATTTTCCATGGACTGTTTAGTCGTACTTTTGTGTAAGGTAGACATAAAATTTTCCAACCGTGGAGAAAATTTTTATTGTGACAGGAACATAGGTGATACATCACGTATTTTTATATAAGTAGTGAAAAATTGTATTTTTGAAGTTATTAACTTTTTAGCACATATATTCCACTCCGTGTTCCAGTCACACTGAAAAATGTCTCACAACCGTGTGTTTTTGTATCTGT